GTTGTTTGGCGGGTCTGGGCTGGGGATTCAAACCCGCCACCTTAGGTGTACATGGCTGGCGCCTTAGCCGGTTGAGCTATGGGCGCCGAGCTGAGATTTCTTATTTGTTCATTTGTTAGGAGCTAATTCATCCTCACATCCTTGTATATATTTATAATAACTGCTTCAAAGACTTTATCTGCTAATTCCAACATCTGGATCACCTCAGGGTCAGTCTCCATTAATTTTCTTCTTTCCTGAGTATGGGTCATGTTTCCCTGCTTCTTCATCTGTCTAGTAATTTTAAACTGTGTTCAGGACACTATGAAGGATGCATTTCAGAGACTCTAGATTCTGTTATATTCCTCTTAAGAGCATTGAAAAATATTTTTAATTTAATTATATTTACCAGGCCATTAACCTGACTGGGCTCAAACGCCAAAGTCTCTTTTCCTTGTGGTAGGTGGCAGATGAAATCTTGGTTTTAGTTCTTTTAGTCTTAGCTGGGCTAGTTGGAGTGCATTCAGCATGCATAATTCAAGGGTCAGCAAGAAACTTATACAGAATTTTTGTGTAGACTTTGGGGCTTCCCATCTCTGGCTCTTTTCTTTCCTCAATACTCTGTTGTATTGTTGAGCTGTTGTGGTCTCCTTGGACACTTTCCTCTGATGCTTTCAGCCAGTTTCTATCTCTGATTAATAGCAGTAAAAAGTGGGGAAGTCACCTAGTGCCATTCTTATCTTCCCTTTATAGATTACCATCCAACTTTTGTTTTTGGTCATTCTCTAGAGTGATACTGTCCAGTAGAATTTTCTGCAATGGTGGAGATGTTTGGTGTCTGCACTGCCCAACACGGTGGTCACTAGCCACATGTTGCTATTGAGTATATGAACCAAGAAACTAAATTGTTTATGTTATTTACATTTAGTCAATTTAAATTCAAATAGGCACGTGTAGCTAGGGGCTAGCATATTGGACATTGCAGCATTAGAGCTTTCATATAGTTGTCTTTTGTATTTAGTTCAGAATTTATTGTTGTAATCTTTATTGTTGTAATCTATGACAGGGCTGGTCAGATGTGGCTAACTCCGCCATTATCAGAAGCAGAACTCTTCTTGTGGTTTTCCATTACATAAATTAGTTATCAAGCCATTAGTGTCTTTCTGCATTTTCTTTTATTTTCTTTTTGTAACTCATTGGTCTTCCCAAATCACTGAGCATAGCTCTTCTTCCAGTCTACCTCACCTTTGGTGATTTTTAAAATTTAAAAAAAGTTTCAACTGTGGTAAAATATATATAACATAAAACTTAACATCTTAACCTTTTTTTTTTTAACGGTTTTTTTTTTTTTTTTGAGACAGAGCCTCAAGCTTTCCCCCTGGGTAGAGTGCCGTGGCATCACAGCTCACAGCAACCTCCAACTCTTGGGCTCAAGCGAGTTTCCTGCCTCAGCCTCCCAAGTAGCTGGGACCACAGGCACCCGCCACAATGCCCGGCTATTTTTTGGTTGCAGCCATCATTGTTGTTTTGGCTGGGCCCAGGCTGGATTCGAACCCACTACCTTAGGTATATATGGCTGGTGCCTTAGCCACTTGAGCCACAGGCGCCGAGCCATCTTAACCATTTTTAATTGCACTTTTCTGTATTGTTATGTGTTCACCTTACTGCACAGCCTATCTCAAGAACTTTTGCAATTTTAAAACTAAAACTGCCAAAAAAAAAAAAAAAGGCTAAGGTGCCAACCAAAAAATAGCTGGGCATTGTGGCGGGCGCCTGTAGTCCCAGCTACTTGGGAGGCTGAGGCAGGAGACTCGCTTGAGCCCAGGAGTTGGAGGTTGCTGTAAGCTGTGATGCCACAGCATTCTACCCAGGGAAACAGCTTGAGGCTCTGTCTCAAACAAACAAACAAACAAAAAAAACCCCTGAAACTCTGTCCCCATTCAATGCTAACTCTAACTCCCCACCCTCTCCCCAGCCCCTGGCATTCACCATTCTACTTTTAGTTTGTTTGTTTATTTTTTGTTTTTGTTTTTGTTTTTACACAGAGTCTTACTATGTCATCCTCTGTAAAGTGAATGCTGTGGTGTCATACATAGTTCACAGCAACCTCAAACTCTTGGGCTCAAGTGATCCTTTGCCTTAGCCTCCCAAGTAACTGGGAGTACAGGTGCCCACACAATGCCTCACTATTTTTTTAGAGACAGGGTCTCACTCTAGCTAAGGCTGGTCTGGAACCTGTGAGCTCAAACAATCCACCTGCCTTGGCCTCCCAAAGTGCTAGGATTACAGGTATGAGCCACCATGCCCAGCCTCACCATTGTACTTTTGGTCTCTATGAATCTGACAACTGTAGGACCTCAAAAGTGGAAGCATATAGTATTTGTCCTTTTGTGACTAGCTTATTTTATTCAGCTTAACATCTTCAGAGTTCATCCACATTATATCGTCCTCTTCCTTTTCAGATTGTTCTGTAATATTTCATAGTTTGGAATCCTGAGGTTTCTGATCCCCAACTATTAGACATCAAGGTTGCTTCCAGTTTTTTTGTTTGTTTGATTGATTGATTGATTGTTTTTTGAGACGGAGTCTCACTTTGTCACCCTGGGTAGCTGTGGCATCAAAGGT